CTCACTGATTGCGATTCTCATCTCACTGACATCGCATCTCACTAACATCGCATCTCACTGACATCGCATCTCACTGACTGCGATTCTCATCTCACTGACATCGCATCTCTCTGATTGCGATTCTCATCTCACTGACATCGCATCTCTCTGATTGCGATTCTCATCTCACTGACATCGCATCTCACTGACATCGCATCTCATTGGCATCGCATCTCATTGGCATCGCATCTCACTGACATCGCATCTCACTGACATCGCATCTCACTAACATCGCATCTCACTGACATCGCATCTCACTGACAACGCATCTCACTGACATCGCATCTCACTGACTGCGATTCTCACTGACAACGCATCTCACTGACATCGCATCTCACTGACTGCGATTCTCATCTCACTGACATCGCATCTCTCTGATTGCGATTCTCATCTCAGTGACATCACATCTCACTGACTTCTTGGCCATTCTAAAAAAGGCCTTTTGTTAGAAAACTAGTAATTAAATAATTAAATGAATAAAATGAATCGAAAGAAAGAAAAAAAGAATAGATAAATTGCAAGGAAAAGAAAAAAAAAATGGAATTTTAAAGATATCCATTCTGCCCGTAATTCTGGACAAGCTTTCTAGTATGAGAATATAAAACAAAGAATAGCTGGAATTGATTGATTATTTAAACTTTAAATAAAGCTGCTTAGTACGACAATAATACTTTTGAGACATCAGAAACCAGTAAAACAAATTTTTTCTCCAAAAATCGATATCTCTTATGTATCTTTATCTTTCTCCTTTGTTTTAAAAGGTATTCTTTCTATATGAATCGTTTTCTGAGTGTTTTAAAGCTGTTTTAAAGCTGTTTGAAAACTGTTTTAAACCTGTTTTAAAGTTGTTTTAAAGTTGTTTTAAAGTTGTTTTAAACCTGTTTTAAACTTTGATTTTTCTAAAACTTTGATTTTTCAATTTAAACTGCAATTTTTAACAGATAACTATACTTATAGAACATTTGATATTCGAAAATTTGAATATTTAGAGTAGAGTTTGAAATTTGAAAGTAGATTTGAAAGTAGATTTGAAAGTAGATTTGAAAGTAGATTTGCAAGTAGATTTAAAAGTAGATTTGAAAGTAGATTTGAAAAGTAGATTTGAAAGTAGATTTGAAAGTAGATTTGAAAGTGGATTTGAAAGTAGATTTGAAAGTAGATTTGCAAGTAGATTTGCAAGTAGATTTGCAAGTAGATTTGCAAGTAGATTTGCAAGTAGATTTGAAAGTAGATTTGAAAAGTAGATTTGAAAGTAGATTTGAAAGTAGATTTGAAAGTAGATTTGAAAGTAGATTTGAAAGTGGATTTGAAAGTGGATTTGAAAGTAAATTTGAAAAAATAAATCTCTTTCGATTTATCTTATTGTTAGAATCGAAAAAAAACTGAATTTTTGTTTTTTTTTAAAGTAAAATATTAGAATTTGTTTGTTAGAAATAGAATTATTTGTCATTGTCATTCATAATTCTCATTTTTCCTCTATTTAGAGCATTATTTTATGGACTTTTTTCATCGAATTGACAACGCTCGTTTTATTTACGGATTTTGCTGTACGGTCGGTATTTCAGAGTTCTTGAAGATTAAAATGAAGAAAGAAAAAAGCTATTCTGATCTATCTTTTGATCTATCTGATCTATCTTTTGAATGAAGCTATTCCGATCTATCTAATATACACGAATTTAGTTCTCGCATTCATTTCTCTCCAAAATACCTCGCTGAGCTTTGTTTTTTCTTTGTTGAATCCCTTCTGTTTGGTTGGATAAACTACATTGCTTGGAAAACAAAGAGACATCAATTGATCAAGATTAAAATGTGGACAATGGTTTGTTTGAAACGAAATAACGATATTCTCAATTAATAGATATTCTCAATGATGTCCTAGCCTCATAGTTTGCAAGATAATCATAATTAGAACAAAACTAGAACAAAACTAGAGCAAAGTTAGAACAAAATTAGAGCAAAATTAGAACAAAAGTAGAACAAAATTAGAACAAAGTTAGAACAAAACTAGAGCAACTAGAGCAAGGACGAAGTTAGAGCAAAATTAGAACAAAATTAGAACAAAGTTAGAACAAAACTAGAGCAACTAGAGCAAGGACGAAGTTAGAGCAAAATTAGAACAAAATTAGAACAAAGTTAGAACAAAACTAGAGCAACTAGAGCAAGAACAAAGTTAGGACAAAGTTAGGACAAAGTTAGGACAAAACTAGAGCAACTAGAGCAAGAACAAAGTTAGAACAAAGTTAGAACAAAGTTAGAGCTAAATTAGGACAAAGTTAGAACAAAATTAGAACAAAGTTAGAACAAAGTTAGAACAAAAGTAGAACAAAACTAGAGCAAAAACAAAGTTAGAACAAAGTTAGAACAAAACTAGAGCAACTAGAGCAAGGACAAAGTTAGACCAAAGTTAGAGCAAGCTTTTGATGCATTTTTGCATTTACTTTGTTTCCAGCTTTCTCTTCCATTGCCTACTATGTGCTACGGTGTGTCACTCTTGTGCGAAATAACCTACGAGAAAGGTTTGCTAAAAAAGTATATCATTCTAGTAAGTTATGATATCGTATTAGGTTGGCAACTAAATAATGGCCCTCGCCCTTTTTTGATAAAATCTTTTAATCTTTGCGTTTAATCTACCCTCGCTTGTTGTTAATTGAATATTACTGAATTTCCGGTGCATTATTATACGTTTTTTACTTTCCTTGATTTGATACTTTTCAAATAATTTTGTTTAGAAATGGAAGATCTCAAATATCGAATGCGTGTCTGTCTCTGGTACGACTACAAACAAGACAAAACAGCTGCCGAATCCCACAGAGATTTATTGCGAGTTTTTGGTGATGAAGCTCTTTCCGAAACACAATGTAAGAGATGGTATCGACGGTTCAAGGAAGGGGATGAAAGTCTTGAAGATGAGCCTCGCCAAGGACGACCCGAACTTCTGCAGAACGATATTTTGGAAGCAGCTTTAAAGGAGGATCCAAGTCAAACATCACGCGAGCTAGGGGATCGATTGGGCTTTTCGCATACTGCAATCGAAAAGCGACTTCATGCATCGGGGAAAAGTAACCGCAGTGGAAAGTGGATTCCGCATGAATTGAGCGAAGAAAATAAGGCTACTCGTGTTATCACAGCTGGAATACTACTAAAGCTTGCGAAAAAGGGAAGCTTCTTGGATTCCATTGTTACTTCTGATGAAAAATGGATCTTTTATGATAATCGAACGCGAAAACGACAGTGGCTTAGCACAAACGTAGACCCAAAACCAACTCCGAAGCCGGATATTCACTCAAAGAAAACTCTCCTCTGTGTGTGGTGGAGTTCTCGTGGGTTGGTGCATTTCGAGGTTCTCAAAAGCCGGCAAACGGTTAATTCAGAACTCTATTCGTCTCAACTACATCGTGTAGATCAAGCAATTCGCTCTCAAGGACTCGAACCCTCTTCAATTCATTTTCTCCATGATAACGCAAAACCACACACTGCAAAACTTACAATGGAGAAAATCGAGGAGTTGGGCTGGAATGTTCTTCCTCATGCGCCATACAGCCCGGATATGGGGCCTAGTGATTACCATCTTTTTCGATCGATGCAACACTTTCTAGCCGAGAAAAAGTTCAATGACCTTGACGAAGTCCGAATTTCAGTGCAGAAGTTCTTTGACGATCAACCAGAAGAATTTTTCAAGAGAGGAATCCAGTTGCTCCGTCAAAAGTGGAAAGAAGTAATAAAGAATGACGGAGAATACCTTTTGGATTGATGTTGATATTTGTTCATCTTGTTAATAAATTTTTTGTTTTTACTGAAAAGGGCCATTATTTAGTTGCCAACCTGATATTTGCTTTTTGATTTATTGAAATGTAACTCTTGAACTGCTAAGCATGAGCAGCTAACTTTGAACTTTTAAATAAAGAAAAAAAAACAATTACTAGTTTTCTATTGCTATTACTATTACTAGTTACTTCAATTACGAGTTAGCATCTCAGTCAGAAATCTCTTTTCAGAACAATCTGCATGTTCTCTTTTCCATCTTTTTCTCACTTCGATCCTCATTCCAATGCAACTTTACGGGACGTTGATTTGGTGGAAAATTGCGGAGAGAATGAGAGCAGAAAAGGATGATTCTGATGTTTCAATTTATTGCATCAGCAAAAACCCCAAGCCGGCCAGCCGAAGCAGCTATGCAGAAACTTGGGTCAATTCGGAGATCTCGTCTTCACCTCGATAGACGAATAAAGACTCGGTTTTATCGATATATTCTCAAAGAATCCTATAATCCTATAATCCTATAATCCTATAATCCTATAATCCTATAATCCTATAATCCTATAATCCTATAATCCTATAATCCTATAATCCTATAATCCTATAATCCTATAATCCTATAATCCTATAATCCTATAATCCTATAATCCTATAATCCTATAATCCTATAATCCTATAATCCTATAATCCTATAATCCTATAATCCTATAATCCTATAATCCTATAATCCTATAATCCTATAATCCTATAACCCTATAATCCTATAATCCTATAATCCTATAATCCTATAATCTTATAATCCTATAATCCTATAATCTTATAATCCTATAATCTTATAATCCTATAATCCTATAATCCTATAATCTTATAATCCTATAATCTTATAATCCTATAACCCTATAATCCTATAACCCTATAATCCTATAATCCTATAATCCTATAACCCTATAATCCTATAACCCTATAATCCTATAACCCTATAATCCTATAATCCTATAATCCTATAATCCTATAATCTTATAATCCTATAATCCTATAATCCTATAATCCTATAATCCTATAATCCTATAATCCTATAAGCGTACAGTAACGATTTACAAGTCACAGTATGCCCCAGTGCTTAAAACTTGACAGTACTTTACAAGATTTCAGTACGCTTAAGCCCCAAGTTACAGTATGCCTGTACATGCCTGGAGCTCAGTTTATCCATCGGCTGCACGACTTTCGTCCAATGATTGAAAGTGATCACTCCGACATGAATCCGTGACTCGAAATCTTCTTTTGGAACGCGTTTCACCTGAAAGTCTTCCATAGATCTTAAAGCTACAGTATACCCTAAATCTGTCAGCTCCGAGCCAAACTGATATTTTAGTTACTATTGTTATTATTGAATGATTTGTCTATTCGATTTGTAAATGTGTCCTCCCCTGTGCAAATGTGTCCTCCCCTGGTGAATGGAAAATGAAAACTCAAAGGTCTGGCTTTTTAATCACTTTTGGAAGCTTTCCGTTTTAACTCAAGAATAAATTTATTGCTGAATTTGATCACAAATTCTTGTTTAAAAAAGGATGCGCATTTAATTTTGAACTGGAATATCTAGAAATTGGAAACACTTGGAAACACTTTTATCAAGTTATTACTGCCAAAGAGAACAAAGAAAGTTAAATGGAGATTAAATGGAGATGTTAAATGGAGTTAAATGGAGCCTTGTCAAAAAAAAAAACAATCATATTAAAAGCAAGCGCATTAATTTAAAAGAGAAAGTGCATGAAGAGCACAAGCAATGGCATGAAAAAGTATTTTTCCATTATACTGTCATTCGTGATCTCGGCACAGGTAGCCAAATCGGATTTCTGGAGAATGAGGAATATGTAAAGGCTTAGTGAATCATCGAACCTGTTCAAAGATCGCAAAGGCGACCTGGTTGAAGGGGATCAATTTCTTGGCAATATCGGTGACGTTCTTGCACTGTTTTTCCAGAATTCCCTTTTGACATTCGACATATTTTCCAACATCACTAAATAAACAGAGGATTCTTTTCAGATTTATAAAAATTTTAGCTTTTTCGTAGTTTTCAGGTATTTTGAACGAGTCGTCACACTTTGAAAGCCTATAACTTTGTCCAGAGATAATATTTTTGCTAACTTTTTTAGATTATTGTACAGAAGACATTTCAGGCTTTCAAATGATACCAAATAGAGCTTGAATGGATTTTTCATTCCCGTGCAAACCAGGCGACACAACTACGGAGTTGGATAGGTCATTTGCTCAGAGTTGGCTCTGATTTTCTTGGACTGGATTATCCAATCAAACTCTATTTGGTATTATTTGAAAGCCTGAAATGTCTTCTGTACAAGGATATAAGAAGTTAACTATAATATAATCCCTGGACAAAGTTATAGGCTTTCAAAGCGTGACGCTTATCGTAAAAAAAATAGAGTCAATTTACAACGAGTTGTGTCGTCTGGTTTGCATGAGATTGAGCTCTATTTGGTATCATTTGAAAGCTTGAAACGTCCTCTGTACAATGATATAAGAAGTTAACTATAATATAATCCCTGAGCAAAGTTATAGGCTTTCAAAGCGTGACGACTCATTAAAAATACCCGGTTTTTCCAAGATACCCGGATTCTTTCAAAATTTTTTCTGGATTTCTGGAAACTACGAAAGACTTTAAGCTCTAGCGAAAGACTTTAAGCTCTGGCGAAAGACTTTAAGCTCTAGCGAAAGACTTTAAGCTCTAGCGAAAGCCTTTAAGCTCTAGCGAAAGACTTTAAGCTCTGGCGTAAACGTCAAGGCTTTAAGAATCTTAATTTTCAAGAAGTAAAGCACTGCTTGAATGTTATGTTATGGTAACAAACCTGCAAGTTTTCATTTTGCCCAATTCTCCACAAGTCTCAAGTGCTTTCTCGACCTCTGTTTTCTCGATGCATTTCTTTAATGGAGCCGCTAAATAAAGGAACAAATTGAAATTGCATTTTGTTTTTGTATTTTGTCACACAAATTTATAAAGATTATTTGACGTATGTTATAAATCGTATTTTATAAATTCTCACCTTCTTTCAAATCCTTTAGGAAAGATTCTTTGCAGAGAATATCCGTAAGTTTAGTCGTTGTTTTTCGATTTTCTTCTTTCAATAATGTTGCCGCTTTCTTTTGACCTCTGAAAAAAAGATTACTGGAACGAAACGGGTTTAACGACTACAATTGCATCTACAATTGCATCTACAATTGCATCATCTACAATTGCATCTACAATTGCATCATCTACAATTGCATCTACAATTGCATCTACAATTGCATCATCTACAATTGCATCTACAATTGCATCTACAATTGCATCTACAATTGCATCATCTACAATTGCATCTACAATTGCATCATCTACAATTGCATCTACAATTGCATCTACAATTGCATCATCTACAATTGCATCTACAATTGCATCATCTACAATTGCATCTACAATTGCATCATCTACAATTGCATCTACAATTGCATCTACAATTGCATCTACAATTGCATCTACAATTGCATCATCTACAATTGCATCTACAATTGCATCTACAATTGCATCTACAATTGCATCTACAATTGCATCTACAATTGCATCTACAATTGCATCTACAATTGCATCTACAATTGCATCTACAATTGCATCTACAATTGCATCTACAATTGCATCATCTACAATTGCATCTACAATTGCATCTACAATTGCATCATCTACAATTGCATCTACAATTGCATCATCTACAATTGCATCTACAATTGCATCATCTACAATTGCATCTACAATTGCATCTACAATTGCATCTACAATTGCATCTACAATTGCATCATCTACAATTGCATCTACAATTGCATCTACAATTGCATCTACAATTGCATCATCTACAATTGCATCTACAATTGCATCTACAATTGCATCTACAATTGCATCTACAATTGCATCATCTACAATTGCATCTACAATTGCATCTACAATTGCATCTACAATTGCATCTACAATTGCATCTACAATTGCATCATCTACAATTGCATCTACAATTGCATCTACAATTGCATCTACAATTGCATCATCTACAATTGCATCTACAATTGCATCATCTACAATTGCATCTACAATTGCATCTACAATTGCATCATCTACAATTGCATCTACAATTGCATCATCTACAATTGCATCTACAATTGCATCATCTACAATTGCATCTACAATTGCATCTACAATTGCATCTACAATTGCATCTACAATTGCATCATCTACAATTGCATCTACAATTGCATCTACAATTGCATCTACAATTGCATCTACAATTGCATCTACAATTGCATCTACAATTGCATCTACAATTGCATCTACAATTGCATCTACAATTGCATCTACAATTGCATCTACAATTGCATCTACAATTGCATCTACAATTGCATCTACAATTGCATCATCTACAATTGCATCTACAATTGCATCTACAATTGCATCTACAATTGCATCATCTACAATTGCATCATCTACAATTGCATCTACAATTGCATCATCTACAATTGCATCATCTACAATTGCATCTACAATTGCATCTACAATTGCATCATCTACAATTGCATCTACAATTGCATCATCTACAATTGCATCTACAATTGCATCATCTACAATTGCATCTACAATTGCATCATCTACAATTGCATCTACAATTGCATCTACAATTGCATCATCTACAATTGCATCATCTACAATTGCATCTACAATTGCATCATCTACAATTGCATCTACAATTGCATCTACAATTGCATCATCTACAATTGCATCATCTACAATTGCATCTACAATTGCATCATCTACAATTGCATCTACAATTGCATCTACAATTGCATCTACAATTGCATCTACAATTGCATCTACAATTGCATCTACAATTGCATCATCTACAATTGCATCATCTACAATTGCATCTACAATTGCATCATCTACAATTGCATCATCTACAATTGCATCTACAATTGCATCATCTACAATTGCATCTACAATTGCATCTACAATTGCATCTACAATTGCATCTACAATTGCAAAACTTGAGAAAATTCGACGATTTTGACTATTTACGGCGTTTACTTGCTTAGGAAAATCTTACTATTTAGCAACTTTTGGAATAGTTGCTAAATCGTAAAAACTTTAATAAGAAGCCCGTCGACTAGTTTTTAGTGAAAATATCCGGAAATCCGGGAGAAAATACAAGAAGAATCGGTTGATATTTCATGGGATTCTGATCCACCTGATGGGCTAAACTTATCCAACGCTTGCATCTACAAAAACAAAACAAAATCCCAACATTGAAAATTGAAGATCGAAAAAACACTCACTCGCAAAATGATTTCATCATAAGCTCTTCAGAAGCATCAGTTGAAGAGATGAGAATCGAAGCTAGAAGAGTTTTTTTTTGTTAAACTACCGTAAATACTGTAATAGTACCCCACCCCCATAATGACGGTGCGGAGTGTTGCGTCGTCTAGCTTTGAACGAGTTTTTCTCGACACTGGTTTATGCTACAATGCGCGCTTAGGTATCAAAAAATAGCTGAAATTCAGGGCTATTTTTTGATACCAAAGACGCATTTTTTGAAAGTATGGGAGCTTTGAAAAAAATGAAATACTAAAAAACTTTTGCGACTGCGCGACTGTACGACGGGGGTGGGGTACTATTACAGTATTTACGGTAGTTTGTTTTTGTTAAACTAGTTTGTTTCCGTTAAACTAGTTTATTTTTGTTAAACTAGTTTGTTTTTGTTAAACTAGTTTACTTTCGTTAAACTAGTTTATTTTCGTTAAACTAGTTTACTTTCGTTAAACTATTAGGGTGTTGCAAAAGAAACTGCCGATGGGTATCAGCTCTCATTTATCAGAAACGAGCGATGCTAACGGCATTATTTTTTTTTATGTTTTGTTCGCATATTTGTTTCCTATTTATTTCGACATTTGAATTTTTTGGTTGTTGTTTATTTTATTTAAAAATATATTTTTTATTTAGATCATGGTCGAGCAAAAGTTTGTGCTACGAGCAGCATTACTGTTTAACTTCAAAATTGGAAAGTCTGCTGCCGAATCGCATCGTTGCCTCGCAAGGAACCAAAAGAGAAAAGAGGACCAAATTTGTAGAGAAAAGGAACCAAATTTGTAGAAAAAAGGAACCAAGTCTGCTGCCGAATCGCATCGTTCTCTCTGTGCTGCTTCCGGAGATGGCAGTTTGTCTCTCAGGCAGTGTCAGACTTGGTTTCAACGATTCCGAGAAGGAGACGAGACTAGGAAGATTACGAGCACGGTTCGAGGCTAGAAGTCGTGAACGAAGCCAAGCTGAAGGACGTTATTCAGGCCGATCCACGCCAATCTGCTCGAAATCTTGCGAAAATATTCCATTGTGATCATGTCACCATCGAACACCATCTTTTGTTTTGAATTTACCGTCAAATCGGCAGTTTCTTTTGCACCATCCTAATAGTTTGTTTTTGTTAAACTAGTTTATTGTCGTTAAACTAGTTTATTGTCGTTAAACTAGTTTATTGTCGTTAAACTAGTTTATTGTCGTTAAACTAGTTTATTGTCGTTAAACTAGTTTATTTTCGTTAAACTAGTTTATTTTCGTTAAACTAGTTTATTTTCGTTAAACTAGTTTATTTTCGTTAAACTAGTTTATTTTCGTTAAACTAGTTTATTTTCGTTAAACTAGTTTATTTTCGTTAAACTAGTTTTCCAATCGCTCACCATAAGTCGGAACGAGAAAAACGAATAACAAAGTTAATAAGTGCATTGTTGAATGGGATACGGGATGAAATGAAATCAGAACTTATCCAAACCAATAATCATTGCTGTTAACCTTTCCTTGGTTTTCATTTTTTTTTTGTTTTGGTTTTCCAATTGAAATTTGTTCTTAAAGAGAAAAAGGAAGTCATGTGGAGATTACTGGAACGAAACGGGTTCCGATTTTTCGTAAAAAGAAAATTTGGTTGAGATTTTTGTCTTTTATCATTACATGAAATTCAATAATAAACAAAATTATATAAATTATAGAAAACGTTATAAAAAACCTCGATACAACGATTCTTCTATAACGATTTGCTCGATATAATTCGAGGGATCAATACAGATTGATCAGGTAGATTGATCAAGAAGCTGACAATCAGATTGATCAACAGTTTGATCAAGAGTTTGATCAAGAGTTTGATCAGCAGATTGATCAACAGTTTGATCAACAGTTTGGTCAACAGTTTGATCAACAGATTCGCGAGTGCCCGATAATCGCTACTTGTCGGTTATACATCCGCAGAGACTCAACTCGGTTAAGCAAGAAGCTGACAACTTGTAAGGGGTGATGATGTTCATTAAAAATCTCTGTGATGAAGTAGAGCGCTCGCCTGAAGTGATCAGTTGATCAGTCGAACGAAAATCGATAACCGAGAAGACTCGGATGGTCCTTTTTTTCTTGAAGCAGTGAATATGACCATCTTCCAAGCCATCAGTAGCCATGGTAATCGCAAAATTCTTGATGAAGTTCTTCGGGAGTTCGTTCCACGCATTCTAAACCCATTCACGATTGGTGGCGGGGCTGAATTTCCACTGCACAAACAGATTTCCACAACATTCTTCGCCTATTCATCATCTAATCTTCATATTCGAATCCTTGTGGGTTAAGTGTTTGGGGTAAGTGATTTATGGTCTGATTTGATTTATGGTTTGTGGTTCGATTTATGGTTTGTGGTTCGAATTTTGATAAAATTTTCCAGAAAGTTGAGTGGGACAAGATTTTTGCACTACACTGTAGTTGACTGGATTAAGTTGTAGTTGATTACCGAGTTCTATCTCATCTAGTTGATTTGTAGTTGATTACCGAATTCTATCTCATCTAGTTGATTGTAGTTGATTCCCGAGTTCTATCTCATCTAGTTGATTTGTAGTTGATTCCCGAATTCTATCTCTTATAGTTGATTGTAGTTGATTCCCGAGTTCTATCTCATCTAATAGGTTGATGCATAAGTCTTTTCGTTTTTTTCGTACTTCTGTTAAAAAGTAACAAATTCACCAATTAATCTATAGTTTGCTCTATAAAAAAAGTGTTTTTTTGTTCAATTTGCATCTTTTTAAATGAATTTCGGTTGACTTTCAAGCAAATTCGAGAGTGAAAAACGCCTTTTTCGTAAAAATCTATAAAAAACTCTACGGAAAAATTGGCTGAATGAATTTCTCTGAAATTTTGGCGAAATATCAAACGTTTTTTTTTCTCTATCTTTTATCTATTGACACGAAGATAGGTTTTCTTTAGCTAAGGTGTCTAAACCGCATCAACGAGTTAGCCCTTTTTGACTACCCGCCTTCATTTTGACTTTTTGACTACCCGACTCGTTGGGTGAATCCTAGCGAGTTGCCAAAGCCGGATCACTTCGGTTTCTCGAGGGCGCAAGATCACTTGCATACGACTTGATCGCTGGTCAAGGTGTTGTACTCAGTAGAGCAGTATAGCTGCGATCTGTTGAGACTCTGCCTATGATTGGTTGGTTTGTTTAGTCGTTAGCTGTTTCAACGTTTCTCGTTCTTCGCTTCTCTCACGGGTGCTTCGCGTTCTTCGCGCCACGCAAAAACACGCGGAACGTACTAGCCTTACGTACTAGCCCGTACTAGCCAACGTACTAGCCCGTACTAGCCAAACTTTTTTCTCTATCTTTTATCTATTGACACGAAGATAGGTTTTCTTTAGCTAAGGTGTCTAAACCGCATCATCGAGTTAGCCCTTTTTGACTACCCGACTTCATACTCTCAAGAAAATCCAGGCATTAAATATTTTTAAACCCGTTTTAATGTTATTTTGCAGAAAAATAATTGCTTTTTCTAATGAAATCAACCGTAGTTTAATTGGTGCATTTGTTGGCTTGAAACGGCAGACGAAAAGGAACAAAAACACTTATGCATCAACCTAATAGTTGATTTGTAGTTGATACCGAGTTCTATCTCTTCTAGTTGATTTGTAGTTGATTACCGAATTCATCTCTTATACAATTTGGGTAGCTGAATGCTATTTTTAACAGGGAAATTAAGAAAGTGTTTTTTAGAAAATCTAAGATTCGTTTACTTCATTCCATTATTAAAAAGGAAGATAGACTGAAAGTAACTTTCTTATTTTCCATTAAGATTCCATAATAAAATTCTATGAAGATTCTTCTGACATTTTTATTTTTCAAAAACTTACTTCTGCTCAAGTAGATTTGTTTTTCAATAAAATTAAGTTACTTAAATAATTATTATCATTTTTTGTATATCCAATATGTTTTTCTAGGCTTTATTGTTTGACTTTTGTTTTTAAAATCCACACTTTTTATCTTAGATGAAATTTAAAAAGATTGGCTTAATTGAGATGTTAAGGGCAGAAAACATAACAGTTCAAGCAGCAAATCAAAAAGCAAAATTAAAATATATATATGCTTTATTCAGTTGAATAGCGACAAAACAAAATCACAATAATTACCCGGGACAAAAACAAAACAGACTGGGCAATTATATATAATATGCTTTATTCAGACACCACTCAAAACACACCCAAAAGATAAATAGATACCTCAAGAAAGAATCACAGAGCAGTCAAATCAATTGCCGAAATTGCGGCTTTAAATCTAGCCAAGGTGGAAATATCACGAACATGAGGAGAACATGAGGGAAACGAACAAGAACAAGAACAAGAACAAGAACAAGAACAAGAACAAGAACAAGAACAAGAACAAGAACAAGAACAAGAACAAGAACAAGAACAAGAACAAGAACAAGAACAAGAACAAGAACAAGAACAAGAACAAGAACAAGAACAAGAACAAGAACAAGAACAAGAACAAGAACAAGAACAAGAACAAGAACAAGAACAAGAACAAGAACAAGAACAAGAACAAGAACAAGAACAAGAACAAGAACAAGAACAAGAACAAGAACAAGAACACGAACACGAACACGAACACGAACATGTTCCAGAATTTAATAACTCGATTAAAAAAGAAACTGTGGGGGCTTTTAGAGGAAACGGAAGGTTGGCGTATGAGAAAAGGCCCCGTAGGCCCCGGAGAAAAGGCCTTCTGGAGGCGCCCCGTAGAGAGCCGAATTCAAAGAGACCAGAAAAAAGGGGGTCGGGATGAATGCCTTTAACAATTTTAAAGCATTCCACTAAATCGATGATCAGGCGGCGTTGGTGTAACATTTCAAGACCAGAGTTGACCAAAGTTGACCAAAGAGTTCCAATCTATCAGAATAAGTAAAGGAGGAGAATTTGTCAAAATTAATTTTATAAAGAGCAATTCTGGTGAAGTGCCTCTGAACACGTTCTATTTTTTGAATAAGATTTCATAGGGAAGGAGACCAAACCAAAGAAGCGTATTCAAGAATTGGGCGGACATAAGCAACAAAAACACATCCGATAAGTTTTGATGTTAGGTATAGGTTTTGATGTTAGGTAAATCCGCACTTTTTATCTTAGATGAAATTCAAAAAAGATCGGCTTGATTGAGATGGCTTGATTGAGATGGCTTGATTGAGATGGCTTGATTGAGATGGCTTGATTGAGATGGCTTGATTGAGATGGCTTGATTGAGATGGCTTGATTGAGATGGCTTGATTGAGATGGCTTGATTGAGATGGCTTGATTGAGATGGCTTGATTGAGATGGCTTAATGGAGATGGCTTGATTGAGATGGCTTGATTGAGATGGCTTGATTGAGATGGCTTGATTGAGATGGCTTGATTGAGATGGCTTGATTGAGATGGCTTGATTGAGATGGCTTAATGGAGATGGCTTGATTGAGATGGCTTGATTGAGATGGCTTGATTGAGATGGCTTAATGGAGATGGCTTAATTGAGATGGCTTAATTGAGATGGCTTAATTAAGTTACTTAAATAATTAGTATCATTTTTAGTATATCCGGGCAGAAAACATAACAGTTCAAACAGCAAATCACAAAGCATTTTTCACAAAGCACAAATCACAAAGCAAAATCAAAAAGAAAAAGACAAATAAATCGTGGAAAGAGATAAGGATCGAAAAAGGGTTTCTTTTTCTTTTGGAATTTCATAGAATCTTAGAATTTTCTCTAATCTTAGAATTTTTTTTTTCTATTTTCCTCTTTTATCAAATAGAACAGAGGTTTTTCAGAATCGTTTTGTTCTGTTTTTTTGACAAAATTTTTCACAAACCACAAAATTCTGTTTTTATAAAAGCGAAAACACGCTGATCTTGCACCTTTCTTTTGTTATTTATTAACCAAAAAGACGTATTTAGTTTCTTATTATTATTATTCTGATTATTTTCTTCTAGAGTTTCTTCCTTTCTAAACGTTTTAACGTAAAAATTTCCGAAAACATAGGCTCTTTTTCCACTACACTAATCGATCTTCATCGGGTTAATCCATTCTTAAAACATAGCTGAATCTTTAAGGCTTTAAAACAGGTTTAAAACAGGTTTAAAACTGGCTTGAAATAGGGTAAAATAGGTTTAAAACAGGTTTGAAACAGGTTTAAAACAGGTTTAAAACTGGTTTAAAACTGGTTTAAAACAGGTTTAAAACTGGTTTAAAACAGGTTTAAACAGCTTTCAAACAGCTTTCGACCAGCTTTAAAACAACTTTAAAACAGGTTGAAAATAGGTTTAAAACAGGTTTAAAACAGCTTTCAAACAGGTTTAAAACTGGTTTGAAATAGGGTAAAATAGGTTTAAAACTGGTTTAAAACAGGTTTAAAACAGCTTTCAAACAGCTTTCGAACAGCTTTAAAACAGGTTTAAAACAGCTTCCGAACAGCTTTAAAACAGGTTTAAAACAGCTTTCGAACAGCTTTAAAACAACTTTAAAACACTCAAAAGCCATGCTTCTACTAGAGTTTTAATGGTAGTCAAAATAAAAACACTTTTAGATTTGAACAAACAAACAAACAAACATTATGCTTCCTCTATTCATTGGCTCTCTATTTGTGGCATTTATTGTCTATTATTTGTGGTCGTCCTATCAGCAAACGTTCTATTGGGATCACCTGGGCGTTCCTCACCTTAAATCCCTTCCGATTCTCGGCTCCCTTTGGCGCATCGGCGACCCAAAGCGGCCATGGTATTTATCGTTGATGGAGAACACAAAAGTTTGTCGATATCTTCAAAAATTGGATTGGTAACCTTTTTGGTAACCAGTGGACTGTTACAGCTACGTTTCATCACCCCACTGACAGTTAGAGCATTATAGAAACTCTTTATTATAGATTTGGGCTTTGGAGAGCTTTTTTTGGTTCGATTCGGTTCGGTTTAAACCGAAAGTTCGCAAATTTCGATTCGGTTCGATTCAATCCAGAAAATTTCGGTTAATTCAGTTTTGAAGCTAATTTTTTTGAGGCCAATCGAATGCACTTTACTGACACTTTTACACTTTACTTTACTTTATCTCAACTTTACTTTACTTTACTTTACTTTACTTTTTTTAAGTCATCAATAAAACTACCGAACTGAATAACTTTTGTAGAAAAATCTTCATTTACACTTGAAATAGAAAATTTGCATAAAAAAATTGCATTTCAAAGTAAATGAGAAAAGAAATTTGCGCTAGACCCGGTTCAATCCGAATTCAATCCGAAACCGAACCCAAATCGAACTAAGCCGAACCAAACCAAATCAAACCAAACCAAACCAAACCAAACCAAACCCAAACCGAACCAAACCCAAACCGAACCGAACCCAAACCCATGTCTACTCTATTATCTCAAAATCATATTTGTAAAAGTTTAAAAACATTTCTGAAGCAAAAAGACAAATAGTTTTTCACCGAGGGGAGTCGAACCCATACCTTCCGCAGGGACGTCCCATCGCTCGCAGCGCCTTAGACCACTAGGACACGCAAACGCAGAGAACAACAGTATATTCCCGCTTAAGAAGAGATGATTTAGAAATTCGGCAAAGTGTGGGGCTACCAGGAAGGGCCGACGAATGTGTTGGTGATCTCTGAGTTGAAAGTTGTCAAAGAGCTGCTCCACTCCAGATTCGACGAGTTTCAGCAAAGAAAGGTGACCATTTTTTGGAGTATTCTTTCAGATGCGCATATTTAAAAAGCACATTAGGCACTTAGATTTCATTTCGAATTAATAGTGAGTAGAATTGCTTATCGATACAAACGGTAAGCTCATTTTTGATCGTTCAAATCTCGGTTTCTAGAGCAGTTTGATACCTGCAAGTTGTTTCATTGGAAAGACAAGAATGTCAGCTTTTGATTGTTGTTTTATACATATCGACTTTTAATGAGTGCTTTAAAAAGAACGACTTTTTAAACCTTATCGATACTTATCGATATCCAAAGTAACGATTATCGATAAGTATTGATAAGCTTTTTAAGGCACTCTCCTATGAGAATTTCCTATATTTGATATAGCAATCAAAAGCTGAAATTCTTGGCTTTCCAATGAAACAATTTGCAGATATCAATCTGCTCTAGAAACCGAGATCTGAACGATCAAACATGAGTTTGCCGTTTCGATAATATCAACAAGCAAGTCTAGTAGTGAGTGTCTAATTTTATTGTTTCGATCAAATATCACTTTATGGAGCTTTATGGAGTTTGACTGCTGGTGGATCCGAACCAAGATCAAACAGTTCTAACAGTTAAACAGTTAACAATCAAACACTAACCACTAGGCTACGAGCTGGCTTTTGGGATGGCGAAAGGAAAGCCGACAAAAGCCGCCGGCAAAAATCAGAAAATGTACGTTCAGAAACTGTTTTCAAAAACTGTTCCAGAAACTGTTTCATTGGAAAGCCAAGAATGTCAGCTTTTGATTGTTGTCTTATACATATCGACTCTTAAGGAGTGACCTCATAAACCTTATCGATACTTATCGATATCCAAAGTATCGATTATCGATAAGTATTGATAAGCTTTTTAAGGCACTCTCCTATGAGAATTTCCTATATTTGATATAGCAATCAAAAGCTGAAATTCTTGGCTTTCCAATGAAACAATTTGCAGATATCAATCTGTTCTAGAAACTGAGATCTAAACGATCAAAAATGAGCTTGCCGTTTCAATAATATCAACAAGCAAGTCTAGTAGTGAGTGATAATTTTGATAATCAAAATCAAGTGAATGATAATCAAATATCGCTTTATGGAGTGCAATATTTTGCAAAGTAAAAGGAAACGACTTGATTTAACTCAGAAAGAGCTGCTGTTATTGATAAAAATGGGAAAAGTCCTAAAATATAAAATATGTAACCATATTCTAACCAAAATAACCATTTGTGAATACTTTAAGCGTTTCTAGCTTCCTCCAATCTTTCAAACGGAGGCCGATGATCGGGACTCTCATATGGTTGATGCGTGGGGAGCACGGTGGAAAAGGTTGAGAGCTCTTGTATCTCCACAATTCTCAAATAAAAGCTTGAAAAAGGTAAGTGTTAGTATGGAATTTGATTAGATCATCTGATTGGATCATTCGTTTCTAAAAATTCCTTGATCAGATCGGTTCTAAGTTCTATCGAGCTTCGATAGGGATCGACTAGTGCTCATTCAAGGGCTTGTCAAATGAGTTATATAAGTCCAATCGGGAAGCTTTTAGTAGAGAAATGTAGCCAAGATTAAGGGCTATAATTCTCTATATAAGACTTGACACTTTGAAATAGAATAAGCCTGCGACAGCTACTTCAAAAAGTTATCCAGGTACCCGTCTTGTCGTTAAGCTCTGGTTTCATTTTTAAAATTTAATCAATTTACTAATTCATAAGAATCTATTGAACTAAACCTTTTAGAAAGCTTTCTGTAAAATTCACTTTCAGATTTACCCCACTGTCGACGATTCTGCTAAACATCTCCTTAAACATATCGGAAAAAACGCGAACGGAGCTCCGATTGATATCTATCCGTGCGTGAATTGTTATCCTTTTTCAAAAGTTAAACTTAGATATCAAACTGTTCTAGATATCTGTTCTAGAAACCGAGATCTGAACGATCAAAAATGAGCTTACCGTTTGTATCGATAAGCAATTCTAATCACCAACAATTTCGAAACAATTTCGAAACAATAAAATTATCACTCACTACTAGACTTGCTTGTTGATATTATTGAAACGACAAACTCATGTTTGATCGTTCAGATCTCGGTTTCTAGAGCAGATTGATATCTGCAAATTGTTTCATTGGAAAGCCAAGAATTTCAGCTTTTGATTGCTATATCAAATATAGGAAATTCTCATAGGAGAGTGCTTTAAAAAGCTTATCAATACTTATCGATAATCGATACTTTGGATCGCGATAAGTATCGATAAGGTTTATGAGGTCACTCCTTAAGAGTCGATATGTATTAGGTTGGCAAAAAAGAAATGCGCGTTTTCGTTAAAAGTTTATTTTATTATAAAAACAAGATAACAATACATTAATCCAAAAGGTATTCGCCATCTGCATCAATGACTTGTCGCCAACGTTCACGCAGAGAATGGATGCCCTTCTTGAAGAACTCGACCGGCTGCGACTCGAAGAAGTTGGACACCCAAATTTGGACCTCGTCACGGTTCTTGAACTTTTTCTCGGCCAAGGAGTGGTGCATTGATCGGAACAGATGGTAGTCGGAAGGCGCCAAGTCTGGGCTGTATGGCGGATGAGGCAGGACTTCCCAGCCCATTTCTTCAATTTTCTGCTGGGTGATTTTTGCGACATGCGGCCGAGCGTTGTCGCGGAGGAATTTTGTCGACGCCGTATCCACGCCTTGACGTCGTAGCGCCTGGTCCACGCGGTCCAATTGGCCTTGGTAGAGGTTCGCCGTAACTGTTTGACCCGAATCCAGAACCTCAAAGTATACCAGGCCTTTACTGTTCCACCAAACACAAAGCATCACCTTTTTTCCGTGGATGTCCGGTTTTGGAGCTTCACCGGGGTCCAACCACTGCCGCTTTCTTGCTGTGTTGCCGTATTGGATCCACTTCTCATCCGACATAACAATGGAGTCGAAAAACCCACTGTTCTTGGCGCGGTGAGTGAGAATTCCGGCGATTGCGATGCGTGTCGCCTTGTTTGCGTCGGATAGCTTATGCGGTACCCATTTTCCGCATCTATTCGTCTTGCCCATGCCATGCAGATGGTTCTCAATGGTGACATGAGTGCAGCCGAACTGTTCTGCCAGGTAGCGAGTGGTTTGGCGTGGATCCGATTCAATGGCTTCCTTCAATGCGTCGTTGTCGATGATTTGAGGTCGACGTCCGTGTTTTTGGTCTTCCAAGCTTTCGTCGCCGTCTCGGAAGCGCTGGAACCATCGTTTACACTGACTTTCGGATAGAGCATCTTCGTCAAACACTTGAGATAGAGCGCCATGAGCTTCAGCAGCCGATTTGCCTTGCTTAAATTCATGCCACAAGCAGGCCAGCAAACGAAATTTTTGGTCCGACATTTTCTAAACACTCTTTCTTGCAAAAAAACAAAGTAAACATAGACAAATTATATATCAAACGATGCGCAAGAACACGCTCTTTCCAATAGAATAAACTATTTAAAAAAATCTTTTACTGTGAATAAAATATAAATCAACAAACACGACGCTCATTTCTTTTTTGCCAACCTAATATAAAACAACAATCAAAAGCTGACATTCTTGGCTTTCCAATGAAACAGTTTCTGGAACAGTTTTTGAAAACAGTTTCTGAACATACATTTTCTGATTTTTGCTGGCGGCTTTTGTCGGCTTTGCTTTCGCCATCCCAAAAGCCAGCTCGTAGCCTAGTGGTTAGTGTTTGATTAGAACTCTTAGAACTGTTTGATTTTGGTTCGGATCCACCAGCAGTCAAACTCCATAAAGCTCCATAAAGTGATATTTGATCGAAACAATAAAATTAGACACTCACTATTAGACTTGCTTATCGATATTATCGAAACGGCAAGCTCATGTTTGATCGTTCGGATTTCGGTTTCTAGAACAGATTGGTATCTGCAAAATTGTTTCATTGGAAAGCCACGAATTTCAGCTTTTGATTGCTATATCAAATATAGGAAATTCTCATAGGAGAGTGCCTTAAAAAGCTTATACTTATCGAGAATCGTTACTTTGGATATCGATAAGTATCGACAAGGTTTAAAAAGTCGTTCTCTTTAAAACACTCATTAAAAGTCAGGAAAGCCAAGAATGTCAGCTTTTGATTGTTGTCTTCTACATATCGACTTTTAATGAGTGCTTTAAAAAGAACGACTTTTTAAACCTTATCGATACTTATCGATATCCAAAGTAACGATTATCGATAAGTATTGATAAGCTTTTTAAGGCACTCTCCTATGAGAATTTCCTTGCGTGAACGTTGGCGACAAGTCATTGATGCAGATGGCGAATACCTTTTGGATTAATGTATTGTTATCTTGTTTTTATAATAAAATAAACTTTTAACGAAAACGCGCATTTCTTTTTTGCCAACCTAATACATATCGACTCTTAAGGAGTGACCTCATAAACCTTATCGATACTTATCGATATCCAAAGTATCGATTATCGATAAGTATTGATAAGCTTTTTAAGGCACTCTCCTATGAGAATTTCCTATATTTGATATAGCAATCAAAAGCTGACATTCTTGGCTTTCCAATGAAATAATTTGCAGATATCAATCTGTTCTAGAAACCGAGATCTGAACGATCAAAAATGAGCTTACCTTTTGTATCGATAAGCATAAGCGATAAGCAATTCTACTCAATATTAATTCGAAATGAAATCTAAGTGCCTAAAATCTACTTTTAGTTACTTTCAAGAATATTCGATTGATGTGATTTGTCGGGTCGCTATTGGAATCAAAGATTCGACTCAATGGAAGAGTGAATATGCTAAAAAGATGATACATGTGAGTGTTCGAATTTAATCGTATACAGAATTTTCACGAATTACGGCCACTTTTTCTTTAGCTCCGTCTAGAGTTAATCATTGCCCATAAAATATAGAATTTGCCGCTTATTTTCAACACTTTTACTTCGATACTTTACTTAAAAACTCAAAATTAGCAATTCTATAAAGCTTCAAACCTTCGAAACTCGAGAGCCTCTGAGACGGCACTTTTTGTGGGCAAATTTTTTAATTAAAGAATTATTTTACTAAGGAAAGTTTTAGAAAGAATGGTTAACTCTAGGCGGAGTTATCCACTAGAGAAAAGGTGCCCATAATTCTTGAACATCTTGTACATTAAATTAAGGTAACTACCCGCGATCCCCGAGATCCGTTCTTCTTTTTGGCCGCTATGAGTCCATTTTTGAGAAAAGTTTGGAATTTAGATTGGAATTTAGATTTGGAATTTATCCGAAAAGCAAATAACTATTATTTTAGTATATTCGATATCTTTTCACGGTGATGGCAAAAAGGTTCAAATTTGCTGGTGGCAAGCTTCTAAATCGTATCGGGAAAGCAGTAGCTGAGAGAAAAGCGGAAAGGGTGAGCCAATACTTGATACAAGAAAAACTGGTGATGACTGATGATGACTGATGATGACTGATGACAGATGATGACTGATGACTGATGATGACTGATGACTAACTGATGACTAACTGCTGACATTCTGTTATTTCAGGCAAAAGGAGGTGTCGCTTCGTTAGAAGAGAAAGATTCCATTGATTTCATCGATCTTTTTCTCGATGCTGAGGCCGATGTTGATTTGAAAGCCGAGGAGGGGCTCAGTGGAAAGAATGCACAGGTGAGATTTTTTCAATCTAGAGGAAGTAGCTTTAAAAAGGGATTCTCAAAGAATCTAGAAATCTAGAAATAGAAATCTGGAATCTAGAAATGGAAATCTGGGATCTAGAAATAGAAATGTGGAGTCTAGAAATAGCTTTCTAGCATGTTTATCATTAATTTAGAAAATCTAAAGTACTTCAGCGTAGATCTAGAATGTTTGCAGATTCGCTGCTGTCCTAGATATATTGGGTTGATGAATTGAAAACTGCCGGCTATTATCATATGTGACAGTTTGAGCACTTTCTTCAAAAGAAACCCATTTTTGTGTCAATAGAAAAGTTGTAGAGAATCAAAAATCAAGCTTATATCCAAATTTTCAGAACGATTCAAAAAACTTTTCAAGAAATGCCAAATTGACGAATTTTCACAAAACTTGCATTTTAAGCGAAACTACTAAATGTATCTTTTTGGAAATTTGACTATAAGCCTAATTTTTGATTCTCTACAACTTTTCCATTGACACCAAAATGGGTTTCTTTTGAAGAAAGTGCTCAAATGCTCAAACTGGGACATCTCCAGTCCTCCTTTTTTGAGAATCACACTTGTCTCACACACAAACCAAAATCCTACTACGAAAGAGGAATCCGCAAATTGCCGGTAAAATGGGCAGAAGTCGTCAATATTATTGGAAACTATTTGGAATGAATTGATGGTTTTATGTTGAATAAATTTTAGTTCAAAGTCCCGCAGTTTTCAATTCACCAACCCAATCTTTGAGAATCCCTTTTTAAAGCTACTTTCTCTACGGAAGTAGCTTTAAAAAGGGATTCTCAAATCTAGAAATAGCTTTCTACAGTAGTATGTTTATCATTAATTTAGAAAATCTAAAGTACTTCAGCGTAGATCTAGAATGTAGTTTCGCTGCTGTCTAGATATAGAATTGTACGTAAACTCATTATTTAGATATAGAATTGTAAGTAATCTCATTGTCAGATTGTTCGTCACATGTTAGAAGAAGAGGTGGTGATGCAGTGCTTTCTCTTCCTTTTGGCCGGTTTCGACACCACCTCCAATACACTCTCTTATACCGCTTGGTATCTGGCTAAACATCCACAAGTGAGTGTTTCTTTTTAGATCTTTAGCTGTTTATTTACTATATTACTATATTACGCTATATTACTATACTAAACTGTGTCAAAAAAAAAAGTCATTTCAGTGCCAGCGTCGACTCCAAGAAGAAATCGATCAAGTTTGCGGGGAACAGGCGGAAATCGGTTACGACGATTTATCAGAGCTGAAATACATGGATTGTGTCGTGAAGGAGACCCTCCGTCTCAATCCACATGCCACTGTGTAAGTAAAATGAGTGGGAAAGTAGACGGCTAGTCGTCTACTTACAGAAAACTAACAACGGATGGTCAACCGGCTGAGCCGGTCAAATGCTATGCAACCTATACCATTTAACGCAGAATTTTATGCTGATTCTGAAGATCTATTCCGTTTTTGTTAAATGACAATCTGCCAGGAGTTACAAGCGTCTAAAGTTTGCTAGGAGTCTGAAAATGTGGTCATTTGGGTCTTAGCGAACGCAGTACCACTCGAACACGGCTACACTGGCACGGCTGCACTGGCGCTGCACAAGGAGATTGTTAAAACCCAAATGACCACTTTTTCAGAGTCCTAACAAACTTTAGTAGCTTGTAACTCCTGACAGATTGTCATTTAACAAAAACGGAATATAGATTCGGAATCAGCACAAAATTCTGCGTTGAATGGTATCGGCTGCATCTGGGTTGCATAGCCGGCTCAGCCAGTTGGCCAGTTTGACCAGTTTGACCGGCTCAGCCAGTTGGCCAGTTTGACCAGTTTGACCGGCTCAGCCAGTTGGCCAGTTTGACCAGTTTGACCGGCTCAGCCAGTTGACCATCCCTTGTAATACACACAGCACAAATATTATGAAGAAATCGTATCTTCAACTCCATCGAATCTTAAATTTCAGTGTTGTTGGCAGGGTTGCTGGGCAAGATCTAGAAATCGCGGGCATTCGATTGAAGAAAGGGGATAAAGTTCAGGTAGAACACAATTGCACAGAAAAACTCTTATAGCATTAAAGAAGAAGAAAAAGAAGAAGAACAATGAGCAACCGACCTTTTTATAGGTAGATTCCTATTCGATTCAACGAGACAAAGAGATCTGGGGCGCTGATGCAGAAGAATTCAAACCGGATAGGTAGAAGGAAAATGACATACAGTACCGGACAATGAAATATGATATTTGAAAAACAATCGTCACTTTCGCGCGTCTGTAACTCCCTTGTCTTTGAGTTTAAACTATTAGTGTTATACATTTTCTGAAAGCTCTTGTCAAGGGCTACACAATGATAATATTTTTCTTTAGAAATACGGTAAAGACAAGGGAGTTACAGACGCGCGAAAGTGAAGATCTTTTCTCAAATATCATATTTCATTGTCCAGTAGTGTACCTCATATTGTAACTCGCGGATAACTTGGCAAGGTTCTGTTGTTAGCTAGCTTCAAGCTTCAAAGCCTTCAAAGCCTTCACGGGCTTCTCATTTCATTTCAACAAACAAGAAAAATAAAACAAGATCCCAATGTTTTCAGGTGGCTCGATCTAACGCCTAATCAAAAAGATGCCTATCTTGCTTTCGGCGCCGGCCCACGACAATGTGTTGGTGAGGAATTCGAATTCTAAGGGAATTCTAAGGGGATTCTAAGGGAACTCTAAGGGAATTCTAAGGGAATTCTAAGGGAATTCTAAGGGAATTCTAAGGGAACTCTAAGGGAATTCTAAGGGGATTCTAAGGGGATTCTAAGGGAATTCTAATTCTAAGGAAATTCGAACATAAACTGCAAGTATTTAGGCATGAGATTGGCGTATATCGAGCAAAAAATCGCCTTAGCGAGAATCCTTCGCGAGTATGAACTGATTTGTGGACCGAAAACCGAGGTTTGTTAGCACATTAAACCATTTAGCATTTTGTCTTTTTAGAAGAAACTTGATCATTCTGGATGGTTCACCGTATCACCGGCTTCTGTCACTGTAAATGTTAGAAAACGGGATCAGTAACGGATCATTAGCTAAAGGAGACCTTTAAATGTTTCTTCTTTTTTCAATAAAGTTTAAAAAAAACTTTTTTTTTGCTCTAATCTCTTTGAAGAAATTTTGTCATAAAAGAGTAAAATTGGTATTATCTTTTTTATTCTAATAGAAGCCTGTGTAGTGTAGAAGCTAATATAATTCAACCTCCTCTTGTCAACCTCCTCTTGCCAACTTCCTCTGGTCAACTTCCTCTGGTCAACCTCCTCTTGTCAACCTCCTCTTGTCAACTTCCTCTTGTCAGCCTCCTCTGATCAACCTCCTCTTGTCAACCTCCTCTTGTCAACCTCCTCTTGTCAACCTCCTCTGATCTTCTGTTTTCTTTTAGCTGATTGGAAATGCGTGGTTGAATGCTGTTGCAATCAGTTTGCCATGAAATGGCTTGTTTTCAAATATTTATGATGTAAATGATTATAAACAGTTAAAAAGTTTGCTGGTAGTTTAATAAGATGTTTTTTTTGGAGAGACCAACGGAAAAGGATCACTATCGTTCCTTTTCCGCTGGGGATTTGGGCGGGAACACGACAACAACAAAAAGAACAACTCTTTTTCTAGCTATTGTAATTCATCAACGATGAGTGTTTATATTTTATGTAAACTAGATTTTAGAGAGACTATTAGAGAGAATACGGTACTTGGCCAGCTGGCCGATCCGTTAAGGAGTTTTGTCTCTTAAGCGGATGGGCGAGGGTTCCAATCACGCTGACAAGTTCACGCTGGCAAGTTCACAAGATCACTTTAACAACCAACTAGATCTTATCGCCAGCTACATTTTCCGACCCCACATCGATAGGTTCTGATAAGCGGTTCTCGAGATTTCGAGGAATTTAGGCAAAGCTTAGGCTACTATTAGAAAGAATACGATAATTTGTCATTTGATTTTTCGTTTAATTTTTATAACGTTTTTTATAATTTATATAATTTTGTTTATTGTTGAATTTCATCTAATGATAAAAGACAAAAATCTCAACCAAATTTTCTTTTTGCTAAAAATCGGAACCCGTTTCTTTCCAGTAATCTGCACATGACTTCCTTTTTCTCTTTAAGAACAAATTTCAATTGGAAAACCAAAACAACAAAAAAATGAAAACCAAGGAAAAGTTAACAGCAATGATTATTGGTTTGGATAGGTTCTGATTTGATTTCATCCCGTATCCCATTCAACAATGCACTTATTAATTTTATTCTTCGTTTTTCTCGTTCCGGCTTATGGTGAGCAATTGGCAAACTAGTTTAACACAAAAAACTCTTCTAGCTTCGATTCTCATCTCTTCAACTGATGCTTCTGAAGAGCTTATGATGAAATCATTTTGCGAGTGAGTGTTTTTTCGATCTTCATTGTTCAATGTTGCGATTTTGTTTTGTTTTTATAGATGCAAGCGTTGGATCAGTTTAGCAGAATTCCAAGAAATATCAGCTGATTCTTCTTGTATTTTCTCCCGAACTTCCAGATATTTTTCAGAGCCCTAAAGAAAGCGGCAACATTATCGAAAGAAGAAGATCGAAAAAAGATGACTAAACTTACGGATTTTCTCTGCAAAGAATCTTTCCTAAAGGATTTGAAAGAAGGTGAGAATTTATAAAATACGATTTATAAAATACGTCAAATAATCTTTATAAATTTATGTGACAAAATGCAAACAATTAGAACTTGTTGCTTTATTTAGCGGTCCCATTTATTTATTGCTTTATTTAGCGGCCCCATTAAAGAAATGCATCGAGAAAACAGAGGTCGAGAAAGCACTTGAGACTTGTGGAGAATTGACCAAAATGAAAACTTGCGGGTTTGTTACCATAACTGTATTCAGTTATCAGTTGCGTTTACGCCTTGACGCTAGAGCTTGAAGTCTTCCGTAGTTTCCAGGTATTTTGAAAGAACCCGGGTATCTTGGAAAAACCGGGAATTTTGAACGGGTCGTCACACTTTGAAAGCCTATAACTTTGTCCAGAGATAATATTTTTATTAACTTTTTATATCATTGTACAGAAAACATTTCAGACTTTCAAATGATACCATAATAGAGCTTGACTAGATTTTTCGATCCCATGCAAACCAGGCGACACATTCGATTCGATTTCGATTTTGTAAATTGACTCTATTTTTTTTACGATAGGCGTCACGCTTTGAAGGCCTATAACTTTGCCCAGAGATTATATTATAGCCAACTTCTTATATCATTGTACAGAAGAGATTTCAGGCTTTCAAATGATACCAAACAGAGTTTGATAAGATAATCCAGTCCAAGAAAATTAGAGCCAACTCTGAGCAAATGGCCTATCCAACCCCGTCGTTGTGTCGCCTGGTTTGCATGAGAATGAAAAATCAAATCAAGCTCTATTTGGTATGATTCGAAAGCTTGAAATGTCCTCTGTACAATGATCTAAAAAAGTTAGCAAAAATATTATCTCTGGACAAAGTTATAGGCTTTTAAAGTGTGATGACTCGTTAAAAATACCTGAAAACTACGCAGGAGCCAAAACTTGTATAAAATCTGAAAAGAATCCTCTGTTTATTTAGTGATGTTGGAAAATATGTGGAATGTCAGAAGGGAATCGTGGAAAAACAGTGCCAAAACATCACCGATATTGCCAAGAAATTGATCCCCTTCAACCAGGTCGCCTTTGCGATCTTTGAACTGGTTCGATGATTCACTAAACCTTTACATATTCCTCATTCTCCAGAAATCCGATTTGGCTACCTGTGCCGAGATCACGAATGACGGTATAATGGAAAAATACTATTTCATGCCATTGCTTGTGCTCTTCATGCATTTTCTCTTTTAAATTAATGCACTGATTGTTTTTTGACGAGGCCTTATCTCCATGAGAGGATATAAATATTTCCTCCTCGGAACACAGGTATCAGTGATTTTCTTGCAGTGTGCTATCAGAGACAAGAAAAATAATTTCTGATAGAATCTTATTATGGAATCTTATTGGAAAAACTTTTATGGAATCTTAATGGAAAATAAGAAGGTTACTTTCAGTTTATCTTACTTTTTATTAATGGAACGAAGTCAACGAATCTTAGATTTTCTAAAAAAACATTTTCTTAGTTTCCCTATTAAAAATAGCATTCAACTACCCAAATTGTATAAGAGATAGAATCCGGTAATCAACTACAACTTAATCAAGTCAACTAAAGTGTGGTGCAAAAATCTTGTCCCCACTCAACTTTCTGGAACATTTTATCAAAATTCGGAAAATTCTCGAAACCGCAAACCATAAATCAGATCACTTACCCTAAGCGAAAACACTTACCCCATAGCATAATGCTTCCACCGCCGAATTTAAACGATGGCTTGACATATTTTAGATTGTATCGTTGCTCAATTGGTCTTCGGATCAATGATGGCGATCCGGATCGTACAAATTGATTTTATTCTCATCAGTGAAAATGACTCGGGCCCAATTATTGCAAGTCCACAACTTGTAGTTCTTTGCAAAAGTCAAGCGCACCTTTTGGTGTTGGAAATCATTAATGGTCTCTTTGCTGGTCTTTTTGCAAACAATCCTGCTCGAATCAAGCGCCAGTTGATGCTCCATCAAGAAATACCTTTGTTAGAAATGGTCTTCAACTTCTTAATTCCATGGCTCGAAGTTAGATTTGGGTCGATTCTATGGTCCCTGATGATTACTCGATCTTCGTTTCTTGTTGTAATTGCTGGACAACCACTTTTCAAAGCTTTATCAAGACTTTCACCTGTTTCTGATTTTGCTGCTAGTCGATTCACTGTCCTTTTATCGCATTTAAAGAGCGTCGCGATCGACGGCGATGAATATCCATTTTTCTTGGCTTGCACAATGTTCTGCTTATCAGGAGTTGACAAATCTTTGCGAGGCGACATCTAAAAATAAAAATATAATACCAAAAATGTATGAGAACAAATAAAGGCAGAGAAAAAACAAAAATTTTCTTAGTGAGACAAGTCTTTTGCAGCATCTTTTTTTCTTAATTTTCACGAAAAAAGGGATTTTGAGAAAACGACGAATTATTGGACTACGGGCATTTACATAGTAAAACTAGAAGGAATCTAGAATCTAGAATCTAGAATAAATCTAGAGCAAAACTAGAAGGAATCATCTACTAAAAAAACCCATTTACTTAAAAAGTTTCTCTCAAAAATCTTGAATTTTGATAAAATGTTCCAGAAAGGTGAATGGGGTGAGGCTTTTGGGGGTAGGCTAATTTCCGCAACTTTTTTTGCGCAACAGCGTCATTTGCGCAACTCGCCATAACTTTTTTTTCCAAGTGGACCAATCTTTATGATTTTGGTTTCATTTTGTAGATCTCAATAAGTGCAACAAAATGAAACCAAAATCATAAAGATTGGCTCACTTAGCAGCAAGTTATGGCAAGTTGCGCAAACGACCCAGTTGCGCAAATGACGCTGTTGCGCAAAAAAAAGTTGCTGAAACTAGCCTACCTCACTTTTTTCAATCTAGTAGAGGAAGTAGCTTTAAAAAGGGATTCTCAAAGAACCTCTTGTGGAACCTAGAAATAGCTTTCTTTGTTGAATCCCTTCTGTTTGGTTGGATAAACTTCATTGCTTGGAAAACAAAGATCCATCAATTGATCATGATTAAAATGTGGACAATGGTTTGTTTGAAACGAAAATAACGATTAATAGATATTCTCAATGAGGGCCTAGCCTCATAGCTTGCAAGATAATCATAATTAGAACAAAGTTAGAGCAAAGTTAGAACAAAACTAGAGTAACTAGAGCAAGAACAAAGTTAGAACAAAGTTAGAGCAAGCTTTTGATGCATTTGTTTTGTTATGGTTTTGTGCATTTTTGTTTTGCATACTTTGTTTCCAGCTTTCTCTTCTATTGCCTACTATGTGCTACGGTGTGTCACTCTTGTGCGAAATAAACGACGAGAAAGGTTTGCTAGAAATATGTCGTTCTAGTAAGTTAAGTTATGATATCGTATTTGCTTTTTAATTTATTGAAATGTAACTCTTA